CTCTCTCTCTCTCTCTCTCTCTCTCTCTCTCTCTCTCCTCTCTCTCTCTCTCTCTCTCTCTCTCTCTCTCTCTCTCTCTCTCTCTCTCTCGAATGGTCCTCGTATTGATTGATGAGAGATACATAGGAAGATGCAAACACATGCAAACCCAAACATAACACTCGGTCTACCTAACTACCCCTTTCCCTTACTCCCTCCCGCCCCCTCCCGACCCTAAAGGTCGAACGGGGGCTCAATTAGCTGGTAGAGCTGGCCCTCACTAAGGGGGGCAAAGGGGCCCCGCATGCCGAGCTCGTCCGCTGCTATCGCCTCGTTGGTCTTGCAGCGGAGGGCGTTGGCTTGTGCTTTTTGGAGGCACACGCTCCAGCGCTGGCGGTATTCCGTCAGCAGCTTGGCGGCCTCGTAGGAGTTGGGGGATGCGTTGAATCGCAACTTGGCCGCCAGCTCCGCGCATTGCCGCAAGAATGCCAACACCCCGGGCGAGGGGTACCCGTATGTCTCTACCGCTAGGGCATGAAAGCCCACCCACGCATTCCGGCGCGCGTATTTCTGCTCCTTCTTGTCCGCAGCTGCCCTAGCCGCCCACCCCGGTGCTCTGCTGCAGTTCTCATCTTGGTGAGAAACGGGGTCCGTCACTGTCACGTCGCACATCCATACCTCTCCCGTCCGGGGATGGCGGATTGTGACGTCCGCCTTCAGGTTTTCAACGAGAGAGTATACATAGGTTTCTTTGTGCACCGTGAATCCCGCCTCTGCCGCAATCAAGGCAATCTCGTCCCGGAGCGCATGGTGAGTCGCAATCCTTCCCCCCCCTTCTCGCAGCGCATGAGATGGTTTGGGAGGCGGTCATCAGGGAATTTGGTGCGGTAGCGGCAGTCGCAGCGCCTGGGGACAGGTAGGGGGAGGCCCAGGCGGAAGGCAGCAGCGGAGGAGAGCTGGGAGGGTCCCATCCTGAGCGAGGGTATGATGGGTAGTGCCAGCAGCCAATCTCCCGCGCCAGGGCCGAGCACCGACTGCATTCGCTGGGCATGGCCAGAGAGGGGGTTGGGGCGCATCCGCCTTGCCTCGTTCATGACCCTCAGGAAGCGGCGCGTCTGAACCGCCAGCGCTAGAGACTGCTGCAGCTTGAGGCCCTGTGGGTCTGCATTCCCGGCCTAGAGAGCTTCTAGAGCTTCGGGGGGGAGAGCTGCTTCTGCTGCTGAGAGGCGTGCAGGCAGGGCGTGCGCGGAGCCGGCGGTGGGGTCCATTAGGGGGAGGAGGGCTGCTACATCAGGGTGGAGTGCCTCGGCCAGGGAGTGCAGTAAGTGGGAGGTGCCCACCACCGACGCAAGGTACGCGTAGCTCCCTTCAACTGCAGGATTTGTAATGCCGAGCCCCCCCAATGTTACGGGCAGCACCGCCTGCCTCCAGATTCTCCTCTGTTCCGCGTCACTCCTTGGCAGCATGATATGGGCCGCGTCCAGGAAGGTATGCAGCATGATATGGGCCTCTCTCTCTCTCTCTCTCTCTCTCTCTCTCTCTCTCTCTCTCTCTCTCTCTCTCTCTCTCTCTCTCTCTCTCTCCAACCTCCCTCATCTCTCATTTGTCTACCTGGCCCTTCCTAACCACCTCCAGCCACCCCTTCATCGCTCACCAGAGAGCAGAGCACTTACATTGCCGCACTGCTTCAGCGCCGCGTTCTCCTCGTCCGTGCGGCTCTTGACACGCGCGCCCGGAAATGACAGAAGGACTGGAACTGGTAGATGAACTCGTCTCGTCCACCATGTCCCACCATGTCCCACCATCTCCCACCATCTCCCACCATGTCCCACCATGCCTACAGCCATGCCCAGAGACCAGAGAGCAGAGCACTTACATTGCCGCACTGCTTCAGCGCCGCGTACTCCTCGTCCGTGCAGCTCTTGACGCGCGCGCCCTGAAGTGACAGAAGGACTGGAACTGGTAGTCGTGCACCCCTCTCCACTCTGTCCCAGCCTCCCAACCACGACCAGAGACCAAATCACTCACATTGCCGCACTGCTTGAGGGCAGCGTTCTCCTCGTCCGTGTGGCTCTTGACGCGCGCCCGCTTCACCCTACCACTACCTTTCCTACCTGTGCTCTGACTGTTACCCATCCCTTCACCGCTCGCACTCAGATTGCCGCACTGCTTTCATGCTGCATTCTCCTCGTCAATGCGGCTCTTGACGCGCGCCCTGAAGTGACAGAAGGACTGGAACTGGTAGATGAACTTGTCTCGTGCACCATGTCCCACCCACCATGCCTATAGCCATGCCCAGAGACCAAATCACTCACATTACCGCACTGCTTCAGTGCAGCGTTCTCCTCGTCCGTGCGGCTCTTGTCGCGCGCGCGGAAATGACAGAAGGACTGGAACTGGTAGATGAACTCGTCCACCCCCCTCCCCACCCTTCCCCAGTACCACGGCCACAACCAGAGACCAAGCCACTCACATTGCCGCACTGCTTGAGCGCCGCGTTCTCCTCATCGGTGCGGCTCTTGACGCGCGCCCGGAAGTGGCAGAAGGACTGGAACTGGTAGATGAACTCGTCCACCATGTCCCACAGCCACGCGTTGGGCAGCTGCACGTTCAGATTGCCCAGCAGCACCACCTGCGCGCGCAGGGGGACAGGGTTTAAACGGTCAGGAGGGTTTGTATGGGAGGGAGGGTTAGACGGTGGGCAGAAGGACTGGAACTGGTAGATGAACTCGTCCACCATGTCCCACAGCCACGCGTTGGGCAGCTGCACGTTCAGATTGCCCAGCAGCACCACCTGCGCGCGCAGGGGGACAGGGTTTAAACGGTCAGGAGGGTTTGTATGGGAGGGAGGGTTTAGACGGTGGGCAGAAGGACTGGAACTGGTAGATGAACTCGTCCACCATGTCCCACAGCCACGCGTTGGGCAGCTGCACGTTCAGATTGCCCAGCAGCACCACCTGCGCGCGCAGGGGGACAGGGTTTAAACGGTCGAGAGGGGAGGGGGAACGAGGAGGAGGAGGTTAGGAAGCATGGGAACCAGGACATTGAGATTGGGTTTAAATGGTCGGGATGGGAGGGGATATAAGCGGGGAATGGTGGGAGAATGGGAGGGACTATGGGAGGGGGAGAATTGGACGGAGTATGGGAGGGAGAATGGGACGGAGAGCAAGGGAGGGGTGTTAGCAGAATGGAAGGGGATGCGCAGTAGGATGGGTGGGAGAATGGGAGAGAGAATGAGAACCGGAACATTGAGATTGCCGAGCAGCAGCACCTGGGCAAGCGGGGGAAAGGGGGGAGAGAACACGGAGGAGGGGGAGGGAGGCAGGATGGGGGGAGAGGGGGGCCGGATGGGGGGGAGGGGGTGTTAGAACGGGAGTCAAGTAATTAGAATCACGGAGGAGTGTGAGGATGCAAAAATACACGCCGCTGCCGAAATATACCCTCCTTAACCCTAGCGAGAAAGCCCCAATGTCGCGAGTGGCGCACTTCGTGAGAATGTCATCCCCCTACTTGAATTCGAATGTGAGAAAACATAGACAACAAGCATATTTACGTTCTCGTATTCGTTGAAAGCTCTCCCCCTACTTGTCTCTCAGTTGGTGCCTATTCCTCAACTACTGGATTAAAAAACCAATCCGGCCTACTTCTCTCCCGGCCATGTTCAGAAGACCTTGAATGCTGACCAAGGTAAATAACATTCCTTAATCAGCATCCCTGAATTAGCATCCCCGAACTAGTATCCCTGACTGACTTCTTCTAGCTCCATGAATTATTACAACAATGAACCCAATTTAGACATTCAACCTCCTTGTACTCTTGGGACTCAAGTACCACCAACCAAGGAACACGCTACAGTTAAAATCTCCATTAAAACTCGTTGAGATTCGCTACCAGGATAGGCTGCAGTGATTCTCTCAAGCCTTGTACCAGTAGATATTCCTTTGGACTTTTCAACATTCCATTAGTACCGCCTACCTGGAACAGGTTGCAGCAGTTCTTCAAGGAATCGTGAAAAGTGTAATGTGCCTAAAAGGTCTCCGAAATACTAACAATAGATGGTTCTGTCACAATTTCCGTCAATATTCCCGTCGATAATTCCGTTAGTGTTTTTGTTCATATCACCAACCTGGAACTGGCCGCAGTGGTTCTCCCAAGACTAGTAACTATCCTTCTTTTACACGTCTCAACAATATTGACAGTAACTTTAGACCCCCGTTAATGTCACCAGGCTTCAGTAGTCCTCCCAGGACTCGTCTAAGTATGACAGTAACCCCTAATTACCGCTTTAAATTCCCATTGAACCGCATTAAAGTCCCCTACCTGGAACAGGCTGCAGTAGTTCTCCCAGGACTCGCACCGCTGCTCCAACGTCGGCTGGAGCCGCGCGAACACGTGGCGGAAGTACAGCTCGCGATACAGCAGGCAGAACACGTGGTCGTGATCCACCACCGGCGCGATCGCCTCCGCCGTGGGCCACGGCGATTCGCTAAAGAGTCGCTGCGATAACTTGTGGAAGCTGTTTTCGTACATCTGGTGGATCTCGTAGACATTGTTCTCGCGAATGTGACGGTAGAGAAACGCGACGAACGTCTTAACGACGTCGGGAACGCCGTCGTTGTCGGACGACGCGGTCGGATCGCCGTAAGGCGCATCGCGATCGTCTAGGTCGTCGAAGGTCGGAGTTCCGCGGGCGTACCGATCGTACGCCATCTTCAGGCCCTAGGTTTCTAGATAAAAGAAAAAGAAACGTCGGCCTTAGCCGATAATCTGAGAACTGCGAAAAGCGTGGAGATCGGCAACACCAAGGTGCAGACACGCGTGACAGGATCTGCGGTGCCGAGGCGCTGATCGCTCCTAAGATTAGGAGAAGAGAGGAGGGGTGTTGAGAGGATGGGGGGAGAAGAGGAGGAAGATGAGATCCGATAGAAGGTGATCAGATGTGTGTGAGCTGTATCAACCTGAATTGATTGGCGGAAACACATGCCTACCATATAAATCTTAAAATGCAGACCGTATTTTATATTGTGTTACACTTAGGGAACCTCTATCTAGCTTTGGCAATTTCACACACCAATATCTCTCGTTGGTTATGTTATGGCATGCTTGTGATTATGCAGTTCAACAACGAATTTCTACTCTGGATTGAAACAAAATACGGCCGGTATTAAAATGAAAAACTGACATACCGTACCACCATTTACTGGGTAAACATATGTGGCTACACATGCATAACCTGGGATGCACCAAAGCACACAAATAATTCCTTTCAATTATTCCCTGGCAGCTTCGCCTCCCTCAGGCTTCCATGCCGCACCCTCCTCATCCTACCCACCACCACCGTCACTACCTACTGTAAAGATACCACCGTTTCACCCACCACAGTCATCACCTGCTGCAGCGACAACCCTAAGTCATTTCCCAGGGCCGCCACTGAGATGGGCTGGGGCATGCTTCATGCCCCTTGATTCATGAAGGAACGTTTCACAGACAACCACTTCTGCCCATACACTAAATCGCTCCTCGCAGTTTAGTCTCCCCTGAGCCTCCCTTCTGCACCCTCCTCATCCCACCGACCACCATCACCACCTGCTGCATTGATAACCCCACGTCATTTCCCGGGGCCTCCACTGGTATGGGCTGGGGCATGCCCCATGTCCCCTGAATCCTCGAAGAGTGTGTTTCACGGGAAACCGTTTCTGTCCGTACAGTGAATTGCTCCTGGCAATTTCGCCTCCCCCAGTCCCCCATGCTGTACCCTCCTCATCCCAGCAACCACCGTTACCACCTGCTGTAAGGACAACCCCAGATCGTTTTCCCGGATTTCCACTGACATGGGCTGAGGCATGAGCTTTTTCGTCGTAAAAAAACATGCTTTCACGGAAAACCATTTCTGTCTGTGCAGTGAATTGCTCCTGGCAATTTAGCCTTCCCCAACGCCCCATGCTGTACCCTCCTCATCCCAGCCACCACCGTCACCACCTGCTGTAAAGACAACCCCAGGTCGTTTTCCCGGATTTCCACTGACATGGGCTGAGGCATGCCGCGTGCTATGGATGATGCCACTAATGCTGCACTGGTGGCACTGAGAGGGAAATACACGTCTTCTCCCGCTGCTGCAGCAGCTGCTGGTGCTGGTGCTGCTGCTGCTGCTGCTGCTGCTTCCGATGCTGCTGGTGCTGCTTCTGATGGTGCTGGTACTACTGCTGCTGCTGGTTCTCCTGCTGTTGCCACAGATGGAATCGACTCAGAGGAAGGAGGCATTGCTCGAAACAACCGGCACCGCCCACTCTCCCCCACCTCCACAAACGTCCCACAAGCACCAACCCTACCCAACACCTTCCTAACGCACTCAACCTCTCCCCCCTGATACCGCCCATATCGCATCACCACCACCCTTCCTCCCCTCACGTCCTCCTCCCTTATCGCCCTTTCGAGTGCCGCGGTAGGTACCGCCTCCCCTGCTACAGGACAAAGGACAGGCACAACCCTCCAAACCTCGCCTCTCGGCCCAAAAAATGAGATCACTGCCGGCTCATCCCACTCCAGTCCATTCAGAACGGAGCGAGAAGGCTCATCCCTATCCAAAGACCCTGAAGAATCACCAGACTCAGGAAGGGAGTGAACAGAGGCAGGAGAGGAGGGAGCATGGGCAGGAGTAGACCTTCCTCCTTTAGCTGAAATGCCGATTATGCAGTCGGTGTATTCGCCGAATCCGGGGGAGAGAATGTAGGGCAGAGCGCCGGTCTTGACTGCGATTTTTTCCACGGAGGAGGAGAGGAGGGTAGTGAAGTAGGTGCGGGAGTCGTTTGGAGTGGCGAAGGTGGTTGGGGTGAGCATGTGGGATGGGAGAGGGGAGGAGATGGTAGATGCTTTGCTGCTGCTTCTGCTGCTGCTACTTGCGCTGCTGCTGCTGCCGGTGCTGCTGCTAAAACTGGTGCGTCGATACATGTGTCCAGCTCTCTTGTCAAATCCTCCACTATCCCTCCAGTCGCATACTGCAGTGCCCGCCACACAACACCAGCCGCATTCGAACTCTGCTCCCCAACGCCTTTAGCGAAACCAGACACCAGGACAAGAAACTCCGCCCCTGCATCTTTCAAGATGTCTACCTCTTGAACCATAAACCGCCTCAACTCCTCCTCACCACCATTTGAAAACTGCTGCTTCAACCCTTCTTCTCCCTTCAACCCTCCTTCTTCTCCCAACAACCCTCCTTCTTCTCCCAACAACCCTCCTTCTTTCACCACTGCTTCCACCAATCCCTCCTCCGATCTCCCTTGCTCCAAAGTCCTATTCCTAGGTTCCCATACTATCTTGCGCATTTGAGTCCTCTCTGCACTAGCTACACCCAGCTGGCGCAGCTGACCCATCATCTCCTTTATAAACTGCTCCGAGTCAGCGTACAAGGAGGGTAATTTACCCGGGGGAGACACGTACAGTAGACCTATTTGAAGGGGGTTTTCTGGAGTTTGGTACAGCCCATGTCGATGGATGGCTTTCCGAATCACTGTGACCGACTCGTCTACGGGTTGCAAAACCTTTCCACCCACTTCTTTCGACTGCCCGTTTACGTCGGCCTTGAGAACCGGGCCAGTCACCAGCTCCGGGCAGATGAAATTTTGACTGACCAGCGAAGAGGCAATATCTTGAATCTGGGCGAATCGAGATTCAGGAGAACGGATGGATTTGGAGTTTACCATTCGCACGCTGCCCATATCAAACCCTAAATCTCTCAGAAACTTCTCGTTCTCCGGGCAAATGACAAGTTCCAGGTACTCGGGCAGCCAGTGAAAACCGTCCGCGACGAAAAGAACCGTCGACGAGTCAGCGTCTTCGAAACGTTTTCGAATTTCCTCCGTTGAGGTAACCCGCATGAGCCATTGAAAAAGCTGCCCGGATTTCGGACCTAACTGCTCCCATGCTATTAATGTAGCAGCTTTGGACCGGAAGGGTGTTTTCACAAGGGCGTCGAGTAGCTTACTGGGTGAGCTTATAGCAAGGATTTCTTTCAATAAGACTCCGCGCCTGCTTTTGATGTCTATAACGAGAGCGGGCTGCCCGAAAAAAGAAACTGCAGAGAAGGACGGAACAGGTTTCAGAATTTTGTTCACATCCGTGCTGCTACTGCTGGCGCTATTGCTGCTACTGCTGCTGCTGCTGCTGCTGCTGCCGCTGCTGCTGCTGATGCCACTGTTGCTATTTAATAAGCTGCTGCCATTGTTGCTGCTGCCCATGCTGTAACCACTTTCTCCCATATCAGCCAGGTGGCATTCCAATTCCACCTGGCGATACAGCAGCCTCGCCACGTCACCACTGCTCACAGCCCAGTTTTCTTCCCTTTCTGAAGCAACCGCCACATCTCCTGCTGCTGTAGTGACTGCCCGAGCCATGGTTACATCTGCTGCTGCAGCTCCTGTTACATCTGCTGCAGCTCCAGTTACATCTCCTGAAGCTACTGTTACATCCCCTTCTGCAGCAGCCGTTACATCTCCACCCACCTCAGCACCAGCCACACTCTGTGTCTCATATGACCTTCCTAAGTACTTCAGTCCTGAAACCACTCCCTGTAACTCGGGAGTTAACTCCCCTAGTAGCTGGCTTTCACTTAAGTGCTGCTGACTCTCAGCTAAGTGCTGCTGCTGACTCTTACTAAAGTGATCCGAATCCGCTTTTCGCAGGCACAACAGAGCGCTGTGACAGGGAACATACACAAACGGGACGCTGAGGGCCGAAGTTAGGCGGTATGCGAGTCTGCTCCCCAGGGTGGGTTGTCGAGGGACGTTTTCAGGCCAGGTGACGAGGTAGCGATCACAGGCTTACTGGGAGGAAAAGGCTGGGAGATGGGTGGAGGGAATGGGGGTGGGGCAGGGGCAGGGGAAGGAGAAGGACAGACGGTTAGAGGCAGGCGGTATGCAAGCCTGCTCCCCAGCGTGGGTTGGTGTGGAACGTTTGCAAGCCAGGATACGAGGTAGCGATCACAGGCGAACTGAGAGGCAAAGGCTGGGCCATGGGGGAGAGGGAGGGGGGAGGGGAAAGAGGGATGGTTAGAGCTGAAGTTAGGTGGTATGCTCCCCAGCGTGGGTTGGTGTGAGACGTTTGCAGGCCAGGTGACAAGGTATCGATCACATGCGAATTGAGAGGCGAAGGCTGGGCCATGGGGGTAAGGGGAAGGAATGTGATTACAAAGCATGGGAGAATGGACGAGGCAGGGAGGTCTAGTTTTGAGGCGCCTCAAAACTACGATTCTTGTGAGAGTGTGATGCTTTTAAGAATAAAAAGCATGGGAGAATGGACAAGGGAGGAAGGGATGGGACAAGGCTTGAGGACAGGACAAGCCTTGACAAGAAATTAGATCCAGAGGGGATGGAATGAAGTGGGATAGAAAATAAACTTAATGGAGGGGTTTGTTATACAAAGTGCTTACCAAGATTGAAACGAAAGATGTTGGTTACTGTAATTCCCACACCGGCGATATCGTTGCTCGCGCTGCTCTCTCTGCTGGCGCCGCCGCCGCCGCCGCTGCTGCTGCTGCTGCTGCTGCTGATTTCAGGGCTAGTAGCGATAGTAGTGCTGACATTTCTGACATTTCTACTGTATACCCTCCCACTCCCTCTCTCGATCCCACCGCTCCTCCTGCTCTCGCTGCTGGTCCATCTCTCACCAATCTCACCACTCCTTCCAATCAAAGCTCTGATTCCAATGGTAGCGCTGCTGACATTTCTGCTGCAAACAACGATGCTTCTTCCATTCCCGAATTCGTTCAAGAAACTGCTGCCTAACTTGAAACGATGCACCAGCGAAAGTTCTTCAAGGGCTTTATTTACTGGTTTCAGCCACAACGCAGGAGGCGGCTTACAGACGCTAACGCGGGTGCTTGTAACGGAGCTGCTTGTGACGGAGTTATAGCTGTAGACGGCGGGGCGCATAGTGCGACTTCCAGAAACCATGTACGCGTGAATCAGACGAGAGACTACTGAAACACTCAGTGCTGAAAGCAGGAAAATGCCTAGTAAGAGCAGACTAGATGTCAGGCTCACAGGCGGATTTCGGATTCAGAATTCCGATACGGATTTTCGATGCGTGCTGTTCAGGCAACTCCTTGGGATTTCTCATCGCCCTGTGCGCGATACTAGGTGCTTTGCAACTTGGAAAAGCAACGGAATCAGTCCCGTGAAACACAGCCAGCTCGTACGTTGTAGAAATGCTACCACATTGAAATAGCTTCATGTGAACATGCGGGCGACAATCTTGTACAGAATTTTCCAAATTCCCTATTGTTGGGGCCATGTGGTAATCTTCGACCCTCGAAATACTCGCTTTCACCAATAAACTATGACGACACACCTTTCTAAGCGCCTCAGAAATCGAGGTAAATTTGACTCTTCAGAAAATAACTGTTTCCTGCTACTACTAAACGACAGTACGCTGCACGAGAGGCCATGTATGCACTCAGGCCTTGACGGCCTTGCGCCGGCCAACCCGAGCCACGAAACCAGCCTTGATAGGCGCGACGGAGCGATGCGAACCGCACTGAGGGGAGGGAGGCGGACGGAAGGGGTCAGCAAAGACAGGAAGGGGGAAAGGGGTAGCAAGACGGAGGGGTGAAGGGTGGTGAGGGAAGCAAGGGCAGCAACTCTTCTGACCGACACCATTTTCACGAAGAAAGACCAGGCAAAGTCCAAAAGCAAAACTGCAAGTGTACCTGTTCGCATCGCAGGAAGAAGAGTCGGTTCTCCTTGAAAGAAATGGTGTCGGGAGACTTGCATAGCAGCAGCTGATTACAGACCCTTGACTCAAGAGTTTCTAAACGGGCGGCTGTCTGTACCATCAATGAGCATGCAGCAAACATTGCAAAGCGTACCTGTTCGCATCGCAGGAAGAAGAGTCGGTTTTCCTTGGAAAGAATTGTGTCTGGCGACTTGCAGCCGTTGCACAGCACATACTCATCTGGTGACACAGGCGGGAAAAAAATGGAAGAAGTGGGCTTTTTAATAATGGGGGGAAGGGCACATGAAGAGTGGACTCTGGCGACTTGCAGCCGTTGCACAGCACATACTCGTCTGGTCACAGGGGGAGTTGGGGGGTGGTGTGAGCGGGGGAGAGTGGAAAAACAAGGTCAGGGCGGAGAGTAGGGTAGAAGCTACCTTGGGAGGCAGGAAGGAAGCTTGAAATCCAAACGACGACTGGATTAGAACAAGCTATCACCCTCTCGGGAACTTGGACAAAGAGCTAAATGGGAATCTATAGCATCACTCACTGACGTATCGCCTCAGAATTCCCTCAAAATTCTTGGGCGCGAAACGTCCCTTCACAATCAGCCGCTGCTGCCCGTCCAGAGACCCGCTGGTTCCCAGCTCAGCCAAGAGGAACGCCATCACGTGCTCCGGCTGCCGATGCATGCTGGTAGGGGTTGAATGTGGTGAAGATGGGTACATATTGTGAAAAGGGGTACAATAAGATGAAGAGGGGTCAAGAATGGTGACAGAGGGGAGGTCTGAGACCGCTGGTTCCCAGCTCAGCCAGGAGGAACGCCATCACGTGCTCCGGCTGCCGATGCATGCTGGGAAGGATTTAGGTGCGGTGAAGAGGGGTACAGAATTGTGAAAAGGGGTACAATAAGGTGAAAAGGTGTCAAGAATGGTGATGAAGGGGAGGTTTGAGACCTGCTGGTTCCCAGCTCCTCCTTTCGATGCATGCTGGGCAGTGTGTGTCAATGAAGAGATTTTTGAGGCGCCTAAATAATAACATAAATAATAAGAAGGACGGATTGACGATAACGACCAGCATATTAACAAAAGCACAAAAGGGGCCATAATGACATGATGCATGCAGTAGGGGGCATTGAGAAAGACAAGATGGCCGCGGGTTCGGGGGAGGGGGAGGGAGGGAGGGAAGGGGGGGTGGGAGGAGAGGAGGGAAGGGTGAGGCAGGGGGTTGGGTGTGGGGGGGAGGGGGGAGGCACACAATGGTGTTGCATGTGATTGATACTCACGTTTTACAGAGGTCCATGAAGTTGGCGAAAACAGTCTTCTTGGTTCCTTCTCGCAGCACCTGCATGTGCAGGAGGGATGATGGAGACGACGGGCGGGGACGACGAGGACGAGCCGGGGCGAGCCGGGGCGATGGGGATCAGATGAGTGGTGAATGCCAGATGTCATTTTGTGTTATGTGTATGTGCGTGTGCACGCGGGAACTTGCACGTTCCTATAGTTGTGTGTAATGCATGCTGGTGTGTCATAGGCGTTGGGTGTGTGTGCATAGGTTCGGTGCATAAGTGGAGATCACATCACACCAGTGTGAGTTTGCTCTCACCAAAACAGAA